TTTTACACAGTACCTTTGTCTTTCTGAAGAAGTGGTTGTGAGGGGGAGGATTTGATGATTCCAAAGACACTGACGCTGCTTTCACTGCATCCTCTGTATTTTCTCTGGAGAAGGTGCCAGCTCTTCAGTTTCCACAGACACTATCCGCCTGGCCTCCTGGTATAAAGTCCATAGAAATCCAGGAGAAGTCGATGTGTGAACACAGCAGGGGATCCCGCTGTGTTGTGCATGTGTGAAAGGCAAACTGAAGGTAAACCCGTGACCAATTCTCCGGATTTTACACAGAGGTCACGTCTGGAAACTGCTTGATTCTGTCAGGACAGGGTTTGAGCTCGGAGTCACGCAGGTCCAGGTCAGATTTCAAGAAAATACTGAGGCTCGTAGGCTGGGTGGGTTTCAAAGTGACAAAGCAGCGATTAGGGACTATGGGTTAGACTATGTGATAAATAACCTCCAAAAACATTGCATGCTGTAAGCTTTGAGTTATAGTCTGGTTTGCATGCAATACTAGGCTGAGATCCACCTCTCCTCCTCTCTCTCTCTCTCTTTCATACACAGAAACACACACACACACACACACATGCATTAAAGTGCGCAAGCCCCCTTTAGCCCTGCCTGTTAAAAATCTGTATTTCATGTTCATATATTTATATGTATATGTGTATATGTATATATTACTGCTACCACTAACAATTTGACTTAATCAGAGAAAAGATTAAATGAAAGAAATGTTGAGTGACAGACATTGTGTCCTTGGTCTTCAAGTCATTGTATTATTTCATTGCCTTACTGCTCCTGTGTTTTTCCAAGTGGCCTTGCCTCTTAAATTGATGAAAATTCCAAGTGAATACTTCTTTCTTGTATTATTTATTTTATCTAATTTCTTTTTTTTCAAAAGCAAATCTAGAATCCTGTTGTATCTTTGTCACCACAGGGTGTTGCATTTAGATTGATGTGGGAGAAGAATTAAATGATTTCACCATAAGCCTGGGGCATTTAAGGAAAAGTGGAAGAATCTGAATAATGTCTAAATGCATTATAATAGTTCAAATGTAACATAGAGGTTAACAGTTCAGTTTCAAAAAGCTATGTATTTAAATCATTTAAATGTAGTAATATATGTAGTAAAGTACTTAGGCACCAAATGTAATCTGAGAAATCTACTGAGTCTGGAAAGTTTGTAATGGAAAATGTGTCACTATTTAAGCAAATATGGCAGTTGGGTTAAATAATGTTTTTTTTTACATAATGACTGATGGATGGTGTTGGCTAAGATAAGACGTTTGGCTAAAAATCTAACAAACCAGAGCCCAGCCAATGGCTAAGCAGGCAGCAAATGGCTCCAGATTCATGATGAAAAGCAGTAATAGACAAGATGGTGAGAGGATATGCGTGTGGAGCTGATGCTTCCACAGGTGTACAGCAACTGCCTGTTCAGAACGCCAAGAAGTGTTCAGAAGTCTGAATGTGAAAAAGGTGTCAAAGTCAGTGCCACAGAGTGGAGAGGAAACTAACGGTTCATAGAAGCAAACATATTCAAAGGATTATCCCCCTGTCATCCGCCCTCTCTGCCCACAAACAGACCATCTAATTCCCCCATCTTGTCATCCGGACCCCCTGTGGAGAACAAATTACCATTTTCCAGAGTCACAGCTCTATTCCATGATGTAAGGAAGATGAAAAGATTGTAATCCTCCTTTCAGGAAGCATTACACAGGACTTCCAGTGGTTTTGCTACATTTTCCCATGAACTAAAGGTTGGACTTTTTTTTGGCTGTAAAAGTGTGTTTAGTGAGAGGTCGCAGTGTTTGGATGCAGACAGAGTGCAAAAGACATATTCAAACAGGGATGCAATCCAAAATATTTAATGTCACTTGCAGTGCTTGGCCTGTTTGAAATCTCTTACACAAAATATGCATTAGACCTTCTCCATATTTGACCTACACAACTAAATTAAGAAGTGTACTTTTAAATATAAATCCTGAGATTAACACGACACTGAACAAGTCCAACATTTCAGTGTTAAATAATGATTTGATTTAATTCTATTTTAAAGAAGCAGAGACGAGATAAAAACACTGACCATCTGAAGCACAGTGCAAATGTCAACTAAGTTGGACGAGTGTCAGAGGATTTATGGCAGACAGCCTCTGAGGATTAGTTTTGTCTGAAAAGGAAACACTGGCATCAAGTGGCCACTTATATTATTACAGTTACACAGACTAAACCTACTACTCCTGCCCCTGGCACCTCAACATTTTGTATTCTTAGTACAACAAACCCCTGATTAACGCTATAGTCTTCTTAGGTTGTTTTTAAAAACATACAACTTCTACTGGGTTTCCCCAAGCAGCCATTTTACCTTTTACACAAACAACTATAACCAGAGGTGGTCACAAGAGTCCCAAACAATAGGGAAATATAATGCTGATTATGAGAGTCAGTAACATTTGTGAGACACAAGCAGCTCTTTGATCACTTGATTCAAAACTGCTGTTTCACATCTGTCTTCATTCTGAGGTCGGTGAAAACATGGTAAGCCGAGATATTTCAGTTTTAAAGGCAAGAGATGTGTTTCTCCTCAGTTGTCCAACAACAAATGCCTGCAGCGGTTCAATAACTCTATTGATATAATGTAACAGTCCTGCAACAATAATGTAAGAAAAACTGTATGTTTTTCATTTTCCTTTAATAATAAATGACCCTTTCCTCTATGTTCCAACGTAAACTCTAAATTCTGTTATGTCATTATGAACTAAGGATAAATTTGGCCAGTGCAGTATTTTTTCAATGGGAATCCAAGACACAGTGTTGTTGTGTAATGTCCAGCTGGCAAATAACTGCTACGATAAAGATGATGAATGCTTTGGTGTGTCATATTAATTCACTGCACCAGTGGCTGTAGGGAGGATATTTTAAGTCGCTCCAGACTCAATATATCCAACGGTTGGATTTACTGCCTTGATATATTCTACAGACAGTTATAGTTCCCAGAAAAATCTTATTTACTGACTTTGGTGACCTTCTTACTTTTCATTAACCGCTACTGAGTAAGAAGTAAAAATACATATGAAGGAATATGATTATTAAGTTTGATGATGCTTAACGTTTTTATTGAGTGCTGTTTAGGAGAACCAAGCTAACGAAAAGTCTTTCTCTCGAGGAAAATGTTCAATTCTCACTCTTAAAGTGATCAGCACCCTTACTACTTGCGTTTCCTCTTAGCATGAGGTTCCGTTACCAAGCCGAGGATTCAGTAGTCGTCAACTGAGGACATGCAGTCATCTCAGTCTGCAGTTTCACTCATCCTCTTCCCTTTTTTATCTAGCAAGATATTTCAGGTTTTCTTCAACCATCCCTGTTTCTAAAACACTCCCAAGCTTTTATTTCCGCTATTTTACGAGTTTGGATTCTTAAGGCAGAGGGGAAAAAGCAATCTCATGACATCAGTGAAATAAAATGAATGACAAAATTTAGAGAAATGTTTATAGTGTCACATTCCTTCACCCTGCTCAATTTAATGTCTGCATTTTTTCAGCACTTTATTAAGTTGGTGAGGGTACAGAAAATTGCTGTCCATAAAATTTTATTATAACAATTTCAAACTTTTATAGAGTAAAGCAATGATGTCACAAGATTGCACGACCAGTGATCCCGGTAGTTGAAGCTTGACTTGGCTGCATGTTTGAGTAGAAAAGCCATTTGCTGCAACTTTTTGTGTGAACCACCCCTGAAATCCAAATGTCTTGAGCCCTAGTTGCTTCTCTTGCCATGTTTAAACTTAATAAAAAATGTCCAAAGAAATTATTAAAATAGAAAATCCATTTCAAGTAACTCACCCTAAAAAATTAAAAACTAACTTTCAAATTTCCCATATAAGATAGCAAGACAGCTGACCACTATTTTCAATGCAAAGATATGGTAGCGTCATGATTTCCTGAGCAGAACATGAAGTCACACCCACTTAGTGTGTGTTGGGTTATGATCATCAACTGTAAAGATGGATGAAGCGTCTCCACTTCCTCCCAGTATCCTGAAGCCAAAATATCTCTGATATGAACGATGCCATCTTGTGCACTTGGAGCCAGAGTGCTCCAAGCAGTAGTGATGGAGCCGGTGTATTTAGGTCCAACTAGTTCATCCAAAAATGAAGATTCACTCATTTACTACTCACCACTATGCCGATGGAGGGGTAGGTGAAGTGTGCGAGTCCACAAAATACTTCTGGAGTTTCAGGGGTAAACTTTGTTAGAGCAGAAACCAATACAATTGAATTCAATGGAGATCTAGACGTCAGACGTAATTAACACCAGAGAAAACACAACATGCCTCCATACTGCCAGAGATTTAGACCTTTTCACCCGCCCCTCCATCGACATAGTGGTGAGTAGATGATAAGTGAACTATCCCTTTAAGGCTGGGTGTTGTTAAGGTCATAAAAACATGTGCTTGGTTACGGCTTGAAAGATTTTTGTGACATGAAAAACATCTTCTACCAATTTCTAAGAGCCATCCTGATCTGAAAGGCCTTCAGATGTTGTGGCCAGGAAAACAAAACAACTGATGTTATTTTCTGGTGATAACAGTCTCTGTTTGCAAATGATTTCCAGAAGTGATGTTAAATTATGCCCAACCTTTTTTTTGTGTGTGAATGAGAGCCACTAATGTTTAATTTAATCTTTTTGTTATATCTCTACACCAACCTTGAGTGGTTCAGTGATGGAGGCATGTCTTCTGTGCCGTAAATTAGTCTTGTCTATTTAAATACACACCACCTGAGGACAAATGCAGCACATATGCGATAGTATGAATTTTTAACATTTGTTTTAGGTACTATCAAACTTGATATTAGTATAAAATGAAGGTTATTGCTCCATTCTCACACCTAAATGTAATATTTAATAATTTGTAGTTGATTAAAAGCGTTAAATTAAAAGCCTGTAATTTCCCAGAGTGACAACGAAGCCAAAGAAAAACAAACTTACTCATACATTTTAATTTGTACTGCTTTTTAATGTGTTTTTTTTCCATCAGAAATAGTAAAAGCCATACATTGTAGCAAACCAAAAGTAACAAAGCTCTATACAGGCATAGTAGCTCATTCACACACATTCTACAGTCCACACTGATCTGTCAAAGTGGGCAGACGCCACTGGAGTTTCCGTTTCGGCAAACAAACGGCCAACATTCAGTTTGTAGAGGAGGAAGTTCCTCTTCTCTCAACAAGCATTTCGTAGGCAAAAATATAGATTCTTCTGTCTCATAAGTGGAGTCAAGACACGGTCGTCATGGGAAAACCAAAACCTGATGATAACTACATGTGGGCATTGTTCTGAAAAGACTGATTAATAGGAATTGAGGATACTGTGTACGGATTCCAGTCAGCAGGTTACTGGCTAACGTGAGCGTGCAGATTCTTTCTAATAAATAATGGAAGATTCTAGTCAGATATAAAAGCCCTGTAAGTGCTGTATTTTATTTTAGTTGTGTTGAAGTACATCAGAGTTAATGAAGGCCCTCATACTAAACTTCATCTCATTATTTTACATCATGCTGCCATCTGATCCTTGTGTATCAGGCATAAAGAAAAGAGATGTGATCTCTGCACACTCAGTTCTCTAATGGGGCTCGAAGGGGCAAATCAAATTTACAAAGAACGTTAGCATAGGAATCACAATCAAAATTAATGTTTTAGTTCATTTTCTCAGTGATCAAATTTACCTCAAACAATCCAACCTGCTATAATAACAGCTAAAACACTGTATTCGAATAAAAGTGGTTCCTTTGTAATGATCGTTCTTCACCACATGAGGGCAGCAGCTACTGACTGAACTGACTCCCTTTAAAAAGAGTCAGTGCTGCGTGGAGACAGGAACAAACTCTTCTCATTCTGCACATGCATGATATGAACTGGGCGTGTTAAAGTCCACATCTCGTCTATATGTTGTAGACACCGATAATACTTCAACATTTAAGTGCTAAACTTGGACAATGTATTTTCTAGGCAGGTTTAAGTTAATAAAACAACGTTGTTTGCATCACTTTAGGAAAACTCCAATTTGGACTTCAGTAACAACAATCTTTCATACAAAATATTTCCCCTCTTACAAAAATCAACAACAACAAAATGCCTCCCCAAGAAAACGAGAATGTTAACAAAAGGAAGTAACGCTGTGAAAAAAACAAACATTCAAAAACAACAGTGATACACTTTTGAATGCACACACTTTACACCTTATATATAAGTCAATGCTCTTGACTTTAGCCAAAATAAAAAGCATCTTCTTCTTCTTCTCGCTTTCAGTAATCTGGATGTATACTTTATAATACATGTATACAAGATAACAGAGCAACAAAGCAAAAAAATAAATATCTTAAGTCACTGTTTGAAAGTTTTTTTATATATATATATATATATATCTATATATGTATATTTATATGTATAGCTTACTTTTGGGTAGGGTGTGAGTGTTAACAGTTTTGGCCGGCCGACGCAAGGAGCTTCTCTTTATTGACGGAAACTTTCAAGGCAGAAACTGAAGATCAGAGTAGCATGATAAACCTTTTCTATAAAGATCGCCCTCACAGGACAACTGTTGGCCCTTGTGTCGTGAGCAAAATAGTGATGCTACATGCTGCGAACAGAGGATGGTGGCAGACAGGAAGCTTGTCCTGACCAAAGCAATCACAAGACGCCTTTGTTGATTTAATCCGTCTCTTGTGGATACAGCAAACTCGCAAAGAATAGACATCGAACAGGGAAGGACCAGTGGCATTTTGGTGACCAACCTTTTCTTTTTTCAAAAGTCTGGCTATTTGCATATTTGAGACAGCCCATGTGAGTTTTATGTTCTTCTTTTTCTTAAAAAGCTCTGCATTAGAAATAAAGTCAGGCACCAAACGTCATCTAGAACAGTCCTACTCATAAAGCAGCCTAGAATATTTACACACACCTCACCAGCCACATAAATGTCCAAACAAGGACATCGCTTGCCACACGGTGCAGAACGGAGCTACAGTATCAGTACATACAGAAAAAAAACAGTTCAGTAATTTTTGATCAAGCAGCCATATTTGTTTTACAAAAAGAATACTTCTGACCCTCCGACAATGGCACGCTATACACGCCCTGACTGCTTTTTTAAAAATCTTTGGTTGACCAGTCAAAAGCCTGATAGATATACAATCCCCCTTTACATCACACTACTTGACTTCTTCTTTTAAAAAAATAAAAATGAAACAATTGCTAAAAAACAACAGTTGCACACATGATGTCATTCCCTCTTCCTGTTCGTGAGTTACCCTGCCAGGGAGAAAAAAATCGCCTCCCATCCCATTGTCGCACACAGCCACTCCCCATCCTGCACTTCCTCTGGTTCATTCTGGAGTCCGTCCGAGAAGAAAAGCACATGCATGCAAGCTGCATGCACACAAACAAACCACACACACTCTCTGTCTTATCACCTTTCATCCGCTTACACACACACACACACACACACACACACACACACACACGTACACACACAGACACACACACTAATTTGCCTTACAGAGCAGGAAAAATAAGGTGGCGCATCAAACCAAAGGCTAATTTCTCCAAATCAGAAAGTAAGTGTCTGTGGTTAAAAGGAAAGAAAAAAGCGCCTGGGTTTGCTGATAGCACTCATTGTTTCTGCGAGGCGATCATCTTCAAGACAAAGTTGACAATGGCGCTGGCGGGCTGGTCAGGGTCCATCTCAGCGAAGAGGTGGCTGACATTGTCGGTTGTGCTTCCCTGCTTGCGCGCCACAAAGCCAAACAGCCTGCAGGGACATAATTAGAGATTTTTTTCACTTTCATGTTCAAGCATCAGACTGCATCAAAAATCACAACCATATCTGCAGAAGCCTTAACTGTGTATAAGTTGGGTAATAAAAATGTAAGTTATAAGACTGCCTTCTAGTGTTATGTGACAAAGTAATCAACAATCGATTGATATTCTACTTACTTGGCTGTGCCTCCCTCAGGCTTCTTCCACCTGAGAATGAAAAAACAAGTTAATCTTAACATTTAAAAAAAGTTGAACAAATGAACAGGTCATCACAGACTGCAAAAAGATTTTGTTTAAGTAGTTCAAGAAGTTCTCAATCTCGTCACATTTGTGAAGGATGAAACCACCCACTACTAGTAATGCATTTCATGTTTCTGTACTCACTTCCTGTCCTGAGGGTCAATATCGCAGAACGTGACAGTGTTGTTAGGGTAGTGGCGTCGGAAGAAAAGCCTACAACAAAGCAAACCAACAAAGAGTATTACAGATACATAGATTCTAAAAATACAGAGTAAAAACCCATTGTGCAGATGATGCATTGTACAGTTCATCCACTTTTTTTAATGTGGGGGTAGAATACATCGTCATTTGATGCTAAGCATAAGCTTGATTATGAAAATGCTCATAAGCACCAATACAGGGGCTCCAATAGGAAACTGGTTGGCAGAACAAAGTATAACTGGTCGGAACAAAAATCTAACTAACTTCAACACTAGTGGGTCAGATATTTGTTAAATTAGTGATTAGTAAACTAACTTCAGCCTGAAGTCTAATAAACCTTTTAGTACATTTCCCTCAAAATGTAATATTTATTTCTGACATTAGAGTGTGCTCTTCTGAGTTGGGACAATATACAGGAAACCCCACTGCAGTGCAATGCACATATTGACATTTGGTTTTTTAGCTGTCATCTCTTTACTAACTTAGCATTAGTACAGAGGAAAAAGAGGGAAATGTGAGGGCAAAGAGTTGGTTTGGTTTCAGATGGTTGGCATCTTAAACCTAAATGTTATACAGGTATATAGTTTAAATGTGTTATTAATTGTTTTTTTAAATAAGTCTTGGTACCCGACACAAAACAGATTTCAGATTTGAGTTGTTGATTGAAATACTGCAGTGAATAATAGACCCTGATCCTTTAATCCTGTGTCAGCAGTTATTATTGTCTCTGTGTGTAATGATTCATGTTGTTACTTGCCCTTCGAAAACAAATTCGATGGGTTCAGACATCAGTTCAATTACGTCTGCGGCAAAAAATCTTTAGATGGCATGCTGTGTTCAGCTAACTTTCGAAAACACACTGTGCTGCGCGTGCATCATCCAGACTTACTTCCTCTGGTTGTCCGTCAGCGTGATGCCTTGAGAAGACACCTTGAAGTGCACAACGGTGGCGGCGGGCGGAGAAGCGGCAGCCAGTGTCTCAGATATGGCCTTGGCAACAGCCTGAGGGCCCGTCAGGGACTCCATCTCCACTGAGTTGATGTAGAGCACGTTGCATGCTGGGAAGAGAGAAAGTGTCCCAGTCAGATTAAACGAGGAACAAGGATGTCATGATTGCACAGGAAGAAATTTCAGAAAATAGATAATAGAACTGTGATTCTAGGCAACACAAATTATATCAATTCCAGAATCAATCCTGTAAAATGTTACTAAAGAAAAAGCTTGCCTATGACCTGTTCATGCAAATATGTCTTCTCATTAGAGAGCATGCTTTCTGGAACAAAACTCCATCCAAATCATTCCACATAGAACATTCTGCCTGTTATGGACGAGAAGCTGGGCGCTACGGTTAAGAGACATTTCCAAGGGAGTTCTGTTAAACAGGGCCATTAATATTTGTCTTGTTTTGTGCAGGTGACAACACATAGACAGACAACACACACAGGATGCACATTCCAGACGTAGGTGTCCAAATAAGTGCACAGGGTTTACCATGGGAATCAGCAGGGGCCCTCTGCACTGGGATAACAAGGATGTCATGTTGTCAGAACACGTGAATAGGATCATTCAGGACACACGAGCAGTGTCGTCATACAGTCTTATAGCTGTGTGATTGTGTTAACATCTCAAACACTGAGAGTGGTATCAAATGTGAAGACTGTGCGTTTAACAGTGAGAGTGGGTCGATGTTTTACCTGCTCCTTGTTTCAGCCGCTCCACCAGTGGGTTTGTAGTTGCGACCGCTGGTGCTTCCTCCAGGAGATCTGCTCACAGTGACAGAGAGAGGGGAGGTTTGAAGGTTTATTGATTTGCATTGTAGACAGTGATGCATCATGTAATTTTATTTTCAACAATTCTTCGTTCCCTGAAACTCAGCACATGCCTCTTTTACAAGGTCTCATCACGCTGCAATCCTGGAACAACAATTGGAACCTGATTTGCTTTTACTCCTTTCCTTATTATCTGACATGTTGACGAGCTTTCCTCATTAAAAATGTGGGTAACAGAAAGAATGTCAAACATGCTCGTTCCTGTGCACAGACCTGTGGCAGGGATGAGTAGCTTGCAGGGCAGGGCGAGTGGTGTGATGGCATGTTGGTAGACCAGGGCCGACAGACAACCTGACGATCAGACACACAGACACAGTTAAGATCTAGGATTTATCTGTCTCAAACATTTCACTTCATCTCTGGAATCCACATCTCACACTGAACTTACAGTGTCCCGGTCCTTCTGTTTGTTCTATTATAAAATAATGATATAAAAAGATCAGAATTTGTTTCTTCAGTACTGTGTTGTAGTGTTGCAGCTGGATTGTGTCTAGAAATTCTACAAATTTGTGGTAGATTCTGGAATTAAAAAGATAAAAACTTTCCAAATACACAAATTCCAGCTTTTTCTGTTGACAAAAGTGCCAGTGAGATTTTACTGAGCTATTGATTAGATGTATCACCACTGTTACACATTGAAATAATCATTAAAATTGTAACATTCTAGGTGCATTTGTGTTATTAATAGAAAAGGTTACTCAGCGTTGAGTTTTCACTATAATTACTATTTACTCACTGTAGTTAGCAAATTTATGATGTTGTTAATAATTTGATTGTGACAAACAAAAATGGACACATTTGGTTTATTCATGTCCTTCTCTCCTCATAATTCATCCTCTGTCATTTGGTGAAATGTGGTTTGATTGATGGTGTTAAAATATTAGTACAACAGATACACTTCAGTGTGCTTCTGGTATCAGTAAAAAATAAAACAAACAATGGAGGCAAAGAGCGAGGAATCATGTTTATGAGTCACGAGCTGAGGACGACAGAGGAAGAGGAAAGAAGGTGAGACAACACACAAGTTCAGAGAAGTCAGCTTGGCCCATTCTGGATTTGGCAGAGGAGGACTGTACACACACACACCCAGACACAATTAGTAGAGTTAGATCACTTCAGTCAACGCTATAATTACAGTAGGATTAGACATTACAGAACTTGGAGGTCGGTGCAGAAAGATGCACAGGCACACAAACAAAGAGGATGACTAATGTTTGACTTGTCCTCCAAACTTTAATATGTCACAACAGTGGGCTTGTTGTGTGTGTGTCAACTCATGGGGGGGGCTCTGACTTACCGAAGTAAGGCTCGTTGGGACACCCCTTCAGCTTCACTCCTTTCGGGCTGCTCTCGATCAGGAAGTGCCTCACCAGCTCGTTGCTGATGTCCCCTGCAACAAAAGAGAGGGAGAGGTGTGAGTGAGTCCAGGTAGAATACCGCTGATTAACCCGGAGACATCACCTCATATCATCGGTATTAAGATATTAACTTTAAGAAGCAAAAGCCACGCTAAATACCGGAGGAGCCAAAGTAAATACTTGTTGCATTTGTAACAGCTACAAAACATCATGTCCTGTTTTAAGTGTCTGTTGTTCTGTATAGACTACATTGTACTTGTAAAGCACTTTGAGCTGCATTTTATGCTACTGATGCTTTATAAATAAAGTTCTTATTTAATAACAGCAATCTACCTACAAATTCCACAAACGTCTGTCTGTCTGTCTGTGTGTGGCTCACATATGTCACGAACTGTTCATCTAATCGGCTCCAAACTCGGCATGTGTATTGTTAATGTTTCAGGGAAGTACAGCGCCAATTCGGACATGTGATACATTCAATATTAATGCAAATGAAATAAACAGGCAACCAGCAGTCAGTGGAGGTGGAGCAGAGTGCCTTCAGTTTGTGGACCAAGTTGAACACGCTTCGTCTACGTCTCTGAGTTAACTACAGTAATGGTGGGCAACAGGGTCAACAACAGTCATTCATAGAGTGACTTTCTCTTGTGTTGACTGCTTAACGGAGTCTGAAATGGCCAACATGCAATGAATGAAAAAATACCACCAGTTGAGTAAATCATTCAATATTATGTATAAACCACACAGGTGAACAGTAATACACCTAATTCTGTTTGACTTTATGGAAACTATAACCAGGTAGGATGAACACAAAGCTTTCTTACTTCACTCTGCACCATAGACTGTTTATAAAAAGCTCTGCACACAACGTCCAGTACACAAACAATACAAATATAACATTATATTGTAGGTTTACTTGAGGAGGGCTCTGTAATGGAAATAATATTATTATTATTAATAATAATAATATAATCTTGCCCCCTACCTTTCTTATTCTGATGCACAGATGGTGGCGGAGAGGCAACCTTCATCGCCAAGCCGTAGGCCCCCCTGAATGAGTGACTGTCCCGGATTACGAAGGCTCCAGGTTCCCTCTCTCTCAGCAGGCCAATAGCTGTAACACAGCAAGCATTCACTTACTTCATTTACGTGCTTTTAGTTTTAGCCCTGCGCGGCTAATTAGCTCCAGCACGTTAAACCAGACTCAAATGTCTCGACAACTATGGAATGGATTGTTACAGACAAATCTTGTGCAGACATTAATGTTCTTCTCAAAAGGAATTGAAAAATGAGCTCAAGTGATTCTCAGGACGGGACATTGCTGCTTAATTGCGCTCAGCTATGTGCTTTTCATACTAAACCGAGCTAATTTCTGGTGATGGGATTTAGAGGTCAGACAAAGTCAGAGAGTTAAAGGATCAAAGTGGAGAAAAAGGAGTTAGAAGAAAAGAAATACCAAGAATAAGGTGAAGTGAGTCCTGTTTCTTTGTTTAATGAAACTGCTGTCAGCCTGGGTTTCATTAAAACTACAACCTCTAACATTACACTTTGCTTCAGACACTCCATTGTTCAAGGGAAAACGCTTTACATCCGTTACTTCACTGTTTAGTTCACTGCCTCTGTGTCCACGTGTGACAGTTTAGGGAAGGAAGATGGATGAGATGAGCAACACATGCAGATGTTCCCTAATTCTCTACATATGGCATGGCTTTCCTTCAGGGAGTGCACAGGACTAAGTTTAAACTCTGTGTGTGTGTGTGTGCGTGTGTGTGTGATGTCATTGCAGTTAAGCATAGGCTTGTGTTCAACATGATATAGTCCAATACAGTCCATGAGTGATTGCAGCTGGGGCAGCCAATAGCCACTGACCTCACAACCAAAACACACAATCACTGAGAACTTGTGTATAAAACTGTGTGTGAGTGTGTATTTGCATTTGCATGCACATTCATTGTTGCGTGTGTGTTGCACATACATTTATCAAGAGCTTATGCTAAAGTCTCTTTAGATGTCAAATTCAACTAAAGCATTACGGTTGAATAACAACAGATTATTCATTCCAACCACATTTTAAATGCTTCATAGGAGTATTCCACTAAAAACAACCGTGACCCAGTTCTCCATGGGAAACGAGCACGAGAACATCAATATCAACATTTCAAACCACTGCTGCAGCATAATTCTCCTGCACCCAACATTCACATTAAACATTTCCTCCATTTCTCGTTCTCAAGTTTTGAAATTTGGTGGCAACCTACTCCAACCAACATTCAAACGTTCAGCTCCTTCCAGACATTTCTGCCTACATTCAACTTTTTTCAAATAGTGTTACTTTTTGAAATATGAATTAGTATTAATCACATTCCCCTGATCTAGGCCTCTACGTTTTAGCATCATATATATTTTCAGCTTGATTATGCAGAGCATTTCTGTGACATTGTGTTTTTACAGAACTTTGCAGAACATGTAGATTTCATTTGTCACTACAATGGTCTCATGGGATAAGATGTGTGAAGCTGATATACTGTAAGTGTTGGTTCCTGGAGGATGGCTCCTTTCATTTTCTAGTGCCCACAGCTGATACATGTCAGCAGGAAGATAAATCTTGACCCACGTAGACATGGACCTGAGAAAACATCTGAAGATGCACGCTCTGTGCAATCTTACCTTGCTCCCTGGAAATGTCTGGCTTGTACCAGAACTTGGACGTGTCCTGGACAAACTTGACATTCAGTCTGCTCTCAGGACTTCCATCTGCAATGGAAACAAAGAGAACATCACAGAAATGAAGGACCACACTGTGCCTTTCTACATTACCAGCTTAGTTACTACTTTACTCACAGTAGTTGTCACTTAAATGTTCAGTGTGCAGGATTAAACTCTATGTTGCGGCCAGGGAAACACAACGATCTTTATTCTTTAAGATGATTTTACACTACTGCAAACTGTGGTTGTTGCAGATACACCTGAAAGTCCTAATATAATATATACCCAACATTTTTTGCTGCTGAATAGGCAGAGCTGTGTTGCTGTTTAAATCTGTTTACAGTTATATGCCAGCTAAGTCATGAATGTGGCACAGACAGCCTTTTAAAAACTGAACCAGAAACCAGATAATAACAACAGACACACATCACAAACATACCTTTTTTCCTGTTTATTTATACAAGTGTTGGCAAGTTTGCTAAATGTTCCTCTGTGTGGATGGAACCATAGTCTTGTTAAAAAGGAATGCACGTAATAAATAGTATCAATGTACTCTAGAAAAAACACATTTCTTTTAGAATTGAAATCAATAACAGGTGGTAGAGTTGGAAAATTGTATTATACATTAATTCATTATAAATATAAAGATAATTTAAAATATCATTACATTCTTTCAAATTAAGATTTCAAATTAAGCACTTAATTACTTTTTTATTACAATTCCATGTTTAATTTCCACGGTTTTCACTGTCTACTTTTCCGTTTATGATCTTTTAAAAAAATGTTTTTGTATTGCAGTGTTTTTCCTTTGCCATGTTTGTAAAGCACTTTGGCTCAACTCCTGTTTTTTTGTATTATTCTGTATAGATAAACCTGACAAAGATGCACATGTAAAATAAAAATGTACTAACGTTAGACATAATGATGTTGCAGACCTTTGCTTTAGGACATTTTCTCTATCTCGACCTCTCTGAATTTAAATTCAATACCCTTGATCTTAATCTAACAGCGGTGATCTTTAGTTTAAGTAATCATACTACTTCAGAGAACTCAGAGAATGTCCTTACCAGGAATATTGAACCTGGAGAAGTCAGAGAGGGTGTGGAAGTAGCCAAGAGTGCTTCCTCCTGTCACTGGAGGCATTATCTTCCCATTCAGTGTGCCATAGGACAGAGCTCCATTTGGTCTGTCACCACTGGACATGCGCCTCTTTTCTGGAAGCTGGGGCTGATGGCCAGGGGCTGGGCTACCCTGCCTGAACCCTACACCCACTCCCATCATCCCCCCATCCTGGAAGCCTGCAGGCGTGATGGGGAAAGAGGGAGTGGGTGGTCCCTGGTAGCCTGAGGAACTGCTCTGCCTCGACAGGTTCCCATGTCTCTCATCTGGGGTGGTGTAGCCGCTGTGCATGGGGTGACGGTCCAAACTTGGACTTCTCTGGGACACCTGTGACACAGACGGGTGATGGCCCAAAACCGGACTTCCTTGGGGGTGTGTGATAGATGGCTGTCTGTTGAGTACGGGGCTGCTCTGCATGGGCTGACCCAGGGATGGCTGTCGACTGAGGACCGGGCTCCGCTGAGACCCCTGTCCCAATGAGGCCTGTCTGCTGAGGACAGGGCTATTCTGAGCCCCCTGTGAAAGACGCCGACCTAGCATGGGACTTCCACCTGGCATGTGACCTGGCATGTGACCTGGCATGCCCACATCATAACCATTAGCTGTTGATGTTTGCTGACACATGACTGAACCATCCTGGTTAGCACTTGAGCGCTGCTGCAGTACGGGACAATGATTGGAGCCAAAGACGTTGGTCCGTTGCAGTGCATGGGGACTTCCATGGCTGAGTGTGTTCTGGGAGGGTTCTGAGGTGGGCGGGCTTGGGTCTGAGGCCACATAGCTCCCCAAGAGGGTGTTTGGGCCATGGTAAGACAGTGTAGGGGTAGTAGTGCCAAAGTAGGAGGAGGCTGGGGAGCTGGAATCCAAGTAGGAAGAGGTGGGAGTATTCGCTGCTTGATAGGAGGGGGTAGGAGTGGGGTAGGCACTTTCTGTAGCCTGGGAGCGGAAGCCTGAATCAGTAGTGGGTTGGGACGGAGTGCTAACACTGCTCTCTGCTAAAAGATGGTCACTGGAAGAGAAAAGATGTGGTTTATTAACCAGCTGTACATTTTCTTTTCGAGTATTTCAAAAAAGGCACATTGAAATGATTTCATTAGATGCAATCATTGACAACTGAGTGATTCACAGGGCTTTCTCACCAATTGGAAGAAGTTGTCTATGGATCCGAAAGGCTATCCTGTATCTTTTAAACTCATATGACCATGTAGAAGTTTTCTGTAGAACACTAAATCCTTATAATTTCTTAAAACTATCCTATATATCTAACTGAGAACACAAACGCACCATAGTATTTGACTTACCCTTGTGAGCTCTGGATGGGACTGCTGCTGGACAATGGTGGGTTCAGTGAGTGGGCGGAGGGACTCGGACTTCCCTGCTGGTTTGTAGTCTCCCCCAATGGGCTAAGGCTCAGAGGTGACGTGGGCGCCTCTCCACCTGTCGCTGCCGACCTTGCCACAGACTCCACATAGCTTCTTGGTGCTGCATGACACAGGAAAGAGTTTCCTCCATTAGCATGAGAATTCAGTGTCTTTCCTGTGTGTATAACATGGTGGGGTGCTTATCGTAGTTGAATGAACAAAATAAAACTGTAAAAATAGCTGTAATGATGATCATGTATTTTGCCTTGAGAGCATGTTTTTTCCAGACAGTTAATGAGAATGGAAAACATCTGGAAACACATGATATGCGGGTGGAAAAATGGGGTGGAGGAGATTAGGAAATGAAACTTTGATAATGATCTTGTGGCATTTTAGCAGCACTCTTACCTTCCTCACCCTCTCTGCTCTCATCATCTGTGGAGCATCAGTGGAGATAATCCAGAGAAAAATGTAAAGGAGCAAAGGAACAGCAGGGGGAGTGTGAGCGAGATCTATTTCACTTTGTGTTATAAAGGAGACACTGTCTGTGTGTCAGAAGTGTCTGATGAGTCTTATGTGTTGCGTTGGTGTGCTGTTTACAGAGGCCAACTCAACGTTTTAACGACAACTGAATACAATAATTTGGATTTTGCTCTTGTCTAGTCATCTCCGTATCTACAGGGCCGCTACTGAAAGTTGTGATTCTAGTGTTAGAGTGGGACAACCAACCTGAACCAGTCTGATGCAGGAGGATTTCTGCTGGGTTGTGGGGCTTCAACCCCAGGGCTGACAGAGGAGTCTTGGCAAGACCAGGAGGGGACCGACCTGAGGGGAGATGGACAGCTGTTAGCACACGGCAACGTGTAACACAGATATCTTGACAGGTGCGACCTGCATTTACGGTTTTACATTATCAATTCTTTCTTTGAGTGTATAAAAGACAAACACAAGAATCAAAATGTTATTTAAATACCTCCGCCAAGGAGGTCATGTTTTCTGTTTGCTTGTTTGTAAGTGAGATATCACAAAACCTATTGACAAGATCTCCATTAACTTGCTGGAAGGATGTAATATGGGTCGAGGAAGAACCCCTTACATTTTGTTGCAGATCAACACATTATTCACTGTCTTCGAGAGATTGGGGCATTTTTAAACAATACATGGATCTTGATGAAAAAAATCAGGTTAATTTGGGGAACTAATATCTATGGGTGTGTAAACTTAAATGCAGCTTGATTTAATTTAACTGGACTGTTGGGCCTTGGCGGAGGTATACGCTCTACTGACTTTCCATACGAGCTGCTGAGTATTTTACATATTTATATTATATTTGACAATCTAACCAGTTCATGTACTAATACACAGGTACACAGCTGTCAAGACAAGGCATACATCATCCACACATCCACACATCCACACACACAAGAGCAACATGTTTAGCAGGGATGTGCCCATGCTTCATGCTCTGATGGAGGGGCAAAAACATGCATGTGACCAAACACGATGCGACAAATGTCACAACACCTCACTCTGCCAGCAGCAGAATGAGATGTGTGTCAAACACAAGTTGACATCAAGACAGAGCTGAGTCAAACTGAACACACGAAGCACACATGGGGAATTTACATTGTGTTTCCTCTGCATACACTATTACAGAAAAATTATACCTGTATCACTTAGTTATAACCATTTGTGTGTTTTAAATTATTTATCGTAGCATTGCTTAAATTCCAGTAATCCTTAGATTTAAATGGTACAGTGTTTACCTACTTGTTTTTTCCCTCCAGCGTAAACACAAATAATCCAAAATTAAAAACTAAAACTAAACTAAAATTAAACAAACAAACTTTTGAGATAGCAAAATGTATGCTGGGGGAGGACAGGCGGGGTGCTGTTGCGGTGACACATGGCAACAACAGGAACCCAAACACAGATGAGATGAGCAGCAACACAGAGCAGCAGCAGCTAAGAGAGTGAGGGAGTTCAAAATACCGGCATGTTTGTGTGCTGTAGGGTGTGTAGATCTATGTGTGTATTCTTGTGTGTAGAGTTAATTTCATTACCTGCACCAAGAAGGTTTTGTTTGTTTGTTATTTCTGCAAAAACGGACCCAAGGAACAACTCAATCAATTTAGGGTCAGGTCAATATCATGATTTTCAGCATTTTCTTATTTCTTAATTCATGTATCTTAAAAATCAGGCAAATTAATATTTATGATTGTGTGCAGATCGAAATAAAAATCCTGATCCACTTAATTTAAATGTGGTTTCGTAAGGAACTGTCAGGCTTTGGCAGAGGTATCTGTGTGTGTGTGTTTGTGTGTGTCTCTACATTTTGTCCACTTTATTGCTGGTGCTGCTCTCGTGTGGCTCTCATACCAAAGCGGTGCAGGACTGTGACAAGTGACAGGTAAAGGGTCAACTGAGGAGAGAGGAGGGAGAGGGATTTGGGAGGGGGGGGGTCAACATGGCTGACGTTGTGGGACAGTGGAACTCCGGTAGAGACGTGCATCCTCCACTTACCAAAGAATCCAAATCAATTCTTTGTACTTGACCCCTAGATGCCCCACCTTTACTGGTCGGTGCTGTGTGTGGGTTTCTCTACGTGGTTCTCTACGTAGATCACAGTGTCACGTGCACTAATCCATGAACTAACCATGCGGCTTTAACACGTTTTGCCAGTAACTGCAAAACTGTACTGAGTTAACTGATGACAGCAGTTAACTACACTGTGTGCACAGCTGAGAAAGAGACAACCTGCACTTGTACACAACAGGTGACGAGACACAAATGTTTAATCTTAATATCTCATCTCAACACTCTTTGGTTATCTCAGAAAAATATGTTACTGCTCAGTGTCGCTGCTTAGGCAACGTTCCCACTTCGAGGAGGAGGAGGGATGTTACGCCACCGAGCGAATGTTAAAAATATGGTGTGTGATTTTATGGCCAGATTTTATGGGTGTGCCCTGGGAGAGATAGGCAAGAGGACTGGATGAGGTAACTGGTAGAGTTGGCAAACAACACGTTACCTAACACACGACTTTTGTTTTTGTGAGGGGTGAGAGTGAGACTGAGAGAAGGGTGGGGGTTGGGGGTGGAGATATGTCCTTAACAGTTTGTATGGTAGTTGGTTTGTCTATATTTTTACTGTTTACTACTCAAAATAAGATTGTGCAGACTGCTGGATTACTCCAGTCTGACTTGACTTCTCCTCTCTTTCCTTTTTTTGTATGATTGTGCGTCCCCTAATGACTAAGGACATTCTTGTGAAAAAAAGGAGGGATTCATTACGAGACGTGGCCACTCAGGCATTTGGATGAGCCAAAACAAGCCCAGAATGCTGCAGCTTCCCACTCACTCACCGGTCACTGGAAATGCTGCCCATTTACAATCTGAACGAAAATGGGATTAGGTAACAAGGTTGATATTTTTTCCCTACTCAGAACATGCGGTACCAAATGGAATATGAAGCGAGTAAGTACTGGTAAAGAAAATGTCAAGGTTTTTCCTACACCGGGTTCTATCAGTATCGCATGTATAAATTGATGATTGCTGAGTAACCACCTCGCAACAAAAAATCTTTATCATAGGTTAAATGACTCAAAAATATCATATACTGATATCATCATCATCATGTTAGGGTATAGCTCTGGCTGCCAACGATTAAAAAGAGGAAAAAAAGGATTCAACATGTGGTTAATGTCTGTAAGATCTTATAAATGTAGGATTTTTGTTTCTATGGATAAATTGCTTTCCTGCATATTGGCACAAGGATAAGAAAAAAACTCTTGATATAATCTTCAATAAGGTTATTAATCATTTTATCTTATTGAGTAACTAACAAGGTCTGAGCTCCACAGTGCCCTCTGTCAGCCTGAGGGGGAACTTACACAGGTTGAAGTAAGGGGTTTGCGGCGAGATGGGGAAGGCAGGGGTTTGGGGAAACACCTCACCACCAATTGTGGGTGTAGGACTAATGGGGCCTCCATCCATTTCCTCAAAGGCCTCCCGGTAGCTGTGCATATTTCTCTGTAGAGGACAACAATGAGAGGGAAAAAAACAAAAGCACACCCATCAACATCAGGTGGAAAAAAAAAGTGTGAACACATGTTGAAAAATGTAAACTTTCTACCTCCTTAGGCCTCCCCCCAGGGTTCATCGCTATGGCATTGACAAACTCTGGAGAAACACATCGAACAGGGGAACGAACTGGGATATCAGAAGAGGGGTCGTCGTCAGAGCCGTTTTGATACTGGCCGTCGCTGGTGAGGCGATGGCGAGGCAGAGTCGCAGGCTCGTCCAAGGACAGCACACGGGCCTGGACACCTGAGAGAACATGAGAGTGAGCTTCAAAATATCAGTGCTGCTCCATGAAGCTGCTTCCCTCCAAGAATTCCATCACTGCCATCAGATGTTAAGAGTTACCAAGCATTGTGAAGGCTCACTGCACAGGCTGCTGTGCGCAATTTGCAGGACAATCAAACATTACAGAGCATTTGCGGGAGGCTGCGGCACTTCACACTTTCAAATTTTACATGCACACACACAAGGTTAATGTAGGGTGATCAAACTGAAACCTGTTAAATCACATGAATTAAACAAGAAATCCGATTTTTATTAATTAATTAATTGATTAAAACCACTGCATAAATGATATTCTCAACAAAATACAAGACAATGTTTGAAAGTTGAAGGAAAATAAAAACACAACCTTGGACAACATAACAAATATTCCATTCTCGTAGCATCAGCTGAAACTGATAAGCAACAGTGTTTTGGAAGACGAGGAGAAAAATGTTCTCTCTCCAAAAAATCATCAGGACTCTCTTATACGCTGGTGCAAAGTGAATGTTTGCTATCTAATGCGTCAATGTGGCAAGTTCTGGCTGAACCTCAAAGCAGCCAGTAAGCTCATTTCAGTTAATCAGAGGGAGCGAGGGGGGAGAGACAGAAAAAGCCACCGACATAAAACAAACAGGATTTGAGTTTAAGAGTTTTAAGCTAATATGCGATGCCACTGACTGGCAGGTCAAGGCTACAATGCATGAAAACACCATCCAAAGTAACAAAGCCAGGGTGAAAGGCGTATCACTGGCTTTGGAACGAGATAAAGGTTAACAGGACACAGTGGGGGAAGAATAATGGGTTTATGAAACGCCTGGGAAAACTGAGATAGTGAATTCTGTTTGCTGAACCAGTTTACCCTGTAGCTTTTCTCTGTGTTACTTTTTTGATGTGTCCAATTGTCATTGGATGTTTTCTTTGAGTGAATTAGGAAAAAAACTTGACTTAAACTGATTGACTAATCTCTTAGACAATCTGAAAACAAAGGCAAGCTTATAGGAACTTTTAAAGTATGACTTAAGGCTTTTGTCAGTCTGAAGCAGAAAGACATTTCCATACATGGGGGGAAAAAAACAACACAGACACACCCTACGTGCCGGCTGTTGTGGAAACAATGAAAAAATACAATCCTATTGATTCACTCCAACCCAGTCTAAAGTGAGGGAGCAAAACAGTGGAGCAGCACCTGTGAAAATTGGAACAGCATAATAGTTAGGCCTGAAGTTCGCTGCCAATGTCACATAGATTTAAAACAACTTTCCATCATGCAAGTGAAATCTTCTTAACACATGTGTTTCTATTATCATCGATAAATCACAATTTTTACACAATAGAAAGAAATCAGAGACTAGCATGTGCCAATCAAGCCATCTGTTTGGATGCTCCACATAGCACTAGCTTGGTGTTGGCAGGGTGTTGGTTAAAAAATCTTGGAACTGGCAGCTCTGAGAAGCATGTAGTCAACACCCCCAAACAGAAGCACACCCACTTTTGCACCAACCCTGGAAACCGAGAACCAGATGTACCGACGATGCAATGCTCGACAGCAGAGCACTGTCAAACACTGTGCTGTTGCCCCGGCGACGGCTAATGGTTTCCAGCTGGGATGGCTGGAGATCCCTGGGACTGGGACTGATATTTTTCTCTTTTCTTTCTTCTCCAGTTTTTCCAGCTATTTGAAATCCAGTGATCATGTGGAATAGGCATGAGGTTGGTTCCAAAAGCATAAACTTGATAGGTGATCCATGGGTTTCTTTTGTTCTTTTTTTGTGGTAAAAGAGGGAATATGTGCACACCTGCACTGGACAGAGGTTATTCAAGGTAAGACTGAGGGAACTGCATTCTGAGCAAAGTCAGTTCAGGTCGATGACAGAATGATATCTCATTTATTTCACACGGTGACTTGATGACGGGCGATATGACCATATTATAACTTAATTCTATAACTCAATGATTTTCAGTCATTTAACTTTGATATAAAGTGTTGCATCACTAAAACGTTGTCTACAGCAACAAAGCCAGACTGGCCCCTGACACAGACCAATCCTGTCTGCATTGTGGTGGCTGTCTCCCAGTGGACCTATACAGCCTCAGTGATGTTTCCAAGTAGGGCTGGTCTCTGTCGTAGATTTTGTGTCCTTTATCTGCCTTTGTAAATCTTCAAAATGGTGCAAGTGAAAAAAGCAGCATTGAATGAGGCCAGTGTATCCTGGCCTTGGTATTGTTCCCCTAGTTTGGCAAAACGGATCTTGTGACATGCACTCTACTGGTAAGAGACAGAGCCTCCTTTGTGCTTTCCCTGTCTCGTTCTTGTGAAACTTTAACATTATCCAATTTAGTTTTTTTTCATTGCAACAGTTAGGGTAATTTCCTTGAGGTAGAAAACTGCAAAACTCAAAACAAGCAGCAATGCCGGGTGAGGTAAAGCATGTGAAAGGAAAATCGTGAGATGGTTAGTTTGATGATGGTGCTCTGCAAACCTGATAATGACAGAGATAAAAGTAAGAAAGAGAAACAAAAGAGAGATGGGACAGTCAACATTTAGACAAGAAAAGGATAAATTAGTAAATGCAACCAAGGGGCACTGCACTCTGAGGCAAAGGCACAGACTTATAATTGGATTGAAGGAACACTTGAAAAAAGGACATCTCCTTCTTTCTTTAAGTGTTCCTTCAGACAGGATGGGAGAACCAACCCGGGTGGGAGTGAGAACGGCGGTGCTCAGACTGAGAACAGGTCATGCTGGGGATGACACTTTGGGCACGAGCCGAGTATTCTGGGTAAAAAGATGAATGATGAGAGAGAGAGAAAAACGATGATGATGACAAAACTGAAAGGAAAAGGAAAACAAGTGGACAGATGATGAGGTCTAAGACAAGAACAGAGAAGCAAGAAGGTAACTGACATATTCCATTTATATAAAGGATTCTCGTTCCCTGGAGACAGATGTTTGGTCATGAGTGTTGATGATGTGCATAGCAACCTACGAATCCTACATTATAAACCACAAACTTTTGCTTTACTGTTGATTACTATAATACAGGAACCAGTTGGTGTAATTTACTGCACACAAGCAGTACCATACATTTCCTCCATTGCCTTCAAATGGTGTGAAACTAGCACTTACTATTGTATAAAGAGAACAATAGCTCTAAAGTGAAATGGACCATATTGTTGACTTTCTAGACATATGTTGACTTTGCTTCATGTCCTGGTGCTCTGCAGGATGCCTGATGTGTTTATCTGGGGACAGTTAACCTGCTGGACTGGAGAACACTTCCTGTTTGAGCCTGAGTGATGGGGACGGATGAGGTGACATTCAGGAAATGAGATAGGAACAGAGCAGTGTTTTCCATGAGAGATGAGTGCACAGTGCATGGCTGATGGAATCAACATTTTTTTCTTTCCTGAACGTTCTGCTACATGATGAATAATACTTGATGAATAAACGATGACCATTTAATTTAGAATTTAGCAACAGTTGTTGTTGTACAACAGGGGAATGTTATTATCGACTCTTTGTTGGTGTTTGGGTGCTTAAGTGGATGGCTGCTATTCAGCTATCTCAAGGTTGTGGGATTTGGAGTGAGAGCTTTTTAGAAAATGGGTGCTAGGGCCAGTTAAGTGATACCAAAGTTGTCCAAAATATGTATTTCTTTAAATGGAACGTGAAACAGCTTCATGACTGGCATAACTTAATTATCTTAATTATTATTATTAAGTTGTAAGGTGTTCAGAAGGCATGATCCGCTTGTATGTGGTCCATGTCTATGGTGAATCACTCTACTCTTACATGACTTCTTTGTATGATGTGCTGCAGGTCAGGAGTTTGTGTTAATAATGTATTTTTTGGTTACTTTTTCCCCAGATGGAGTATGAAAATCTGTGAGATCCCATTAATACCAGCAACCTCCTGTTTTAAATGAATGAACTAATGGAGTTAGGTGTAAGGAAACAATGTTAATATGAGATCTTACCAGCCACTCTTTGAGCCACCAGACCTTCCACGTTGAAGACTTCATTGGGCTCACTGTCTATTGGCTGGGGTGATGCTGAGACAGCGCTTCTCTGGGGCTCAGAGACATCTGCAGAAACGGACAGTGTGCTCGGTGGATAGGTGTTGATGGGCTTCAGCTGGAAGTGGCCGGCTACAGCAGGGGAGGCTTGTGAGGGAGGACTTGTTCCAGTGGTTTCAGAGGTGTAACTCAGTGATCCATGGACAGGTGGAGGCTCTGGTGTGGTAGGTTTCCCAGCTGACATCTGAGCTGGTGACACGGGACCTGAAAAGTGAATCGCAGAATCACCCTGGTAGGAGGGTCTGGTTTGGCTCTGGGAAAAGGACGGCTGTGTGGTCACTACAACACTATTTTCCCACAGTGGAGCACTTTGGGACTTTGGCACCGGTGAACAAGCTGGTTCCAGGTCCAACATGAGGAGATTAAGGGTTTCAATAGATTGCTCAATCTCTTGCTGGGAGGCGCTGTGGCGATGAGGGAACTGTGGGAGGCTGTGGTGGCTGGGCATCACTGCTACAGAGGGAGGTGGACTAAAAGTTAGTCCTTCAGTTACTGGCTCCTCAGGTACACCGAAGCGCTGCCAAACATTAATACCACGCTGGACGGCATCCCTGCTACTTGTAGTGCGAGCAGGAGCTTGTGGCATAGATTTTGGTTCTTCACCAAATGACTGAGAGCGATACACACTGCCATTCTGGGTGGCCATGTAAGTAACTGATGATGGAGCTGAATCACTTTGGCTTAAAGTGACAGGTTTGTCGGATCTGCCAACCTGTGGCTGGACGGTCTCCAGAGGCTTTTCTGGAGCACTGCGCTCCAGATATGGCACATGGTCCTGACCATTGATCAGTGACTCTGACTGGTAGTAGAGATCGGCTGGTGTAGCCCTACCATCTGTGGAGGAGAATGTCCCTAGACTGTCCACACTGTTGCCCTCTTGACTGGTAGGAAGTTCATCATCTAAAATGTCTGTTTCACGGTCAACGCTATTGTGCCCATTAACATGGACCTGGGCAGGCACCAGGTGAAGCATCCCTCCAACTGCAGATGTCGGAGTGGACAGGTAGCCCTGTCGGTGCATGGGCCCCTCCAAACCACTCAGAAGCTGCTCCAGCTCCTGCTTCTCTTGGGGACTGATTGGTTGTTGGGCAGGTGGGTTGTGGCAATGGACAGAGGATGACTCCTCAACCACAGGGACGTGTGTCTGGCTCACTGTGGATGCATGAGGGGCTGCTGCCGCATCATCAGTTCTGTCAGTTTTGATGGAGGCGGTAGAGTTTCCTGAGTCACTGCTTACTGATAAGGCATGGTCAACTGCAGGTAGGGCATGTTCAGCAGCAGTGGGTGGAAGGCCATTTGCTGTGACTGTTCCTTCAACAGACTCCTTTTTGCGAACTTTGGCGTAGAGGCTGCCGTCCAGGGGTCCTTGGGTATGGATGACTTCTGAAACAACAGGTATGAGAAAGACATTAAAATCCAATTCAAACATTTTGTATTTAAGCAAATACAGCAATGAGTAACTATTTATATGTACAACAATTTTTAATTACCCAAGTATTTATTGAGTGACAGGTCTTTGGCCTTTACAAAAATAAATGTGTAATCTGCTAAATATAACCACACAGTATTTGTCAAGGCATATTGGAGCAAAGACTGAGGAGACAGAAGTGGAGTGTTGGAAGATTGTGCGGGCATGGCCAAAATAGCTGCAGTTAAATTAAACACTGGCTCATGTCCACCTATTCTGCCAGCTTCAGGAAATGAGCAGGGTCTGTGGCATGCACTGTGGAAAAAACGATGAATTCACAAAAGCCTGCTTAGCACTTTCTCAAGCCATTTGGATTTATCTGTGCCACCTGAGAAATACCGGCATAGCAGAAGATGAATGGACATCACAGCCTTTTAAATGACCGAAATGTTAACTCATGAACTCAGTTGGGATGTTGCAATACGGATTTTGTTCACCAAGTGCAAATGCACATGAACACACATTGTACATTCACACATAGCCACACCCATGTCCAGTGATGGGGAATTAGGGTGTTCCAATCAGAAGAATTTAGTCATCACTGGAAAATCGGCCTCACTGAGTAAGAAAGGCCTGGAGTCTTTTCTTGGCCTCCACAGCCAAAAGGAAAACAAAAGCATAACATACTGAGAGACATACTGAAAAAGTTTAAACACACACACACACACACACACCACCACCACCACCAATGGATCATTACAGATATCAAAATATACGAGTCTGTTCCTCAAAAGAGTAATGTAAATCTAAAGTTCCCCACATCCTCTGGACCGTTTAGTAACAGTTTGTGTGGTTAAACATGGTTCAGGAAGGCAAAGAGAAAAACAATACCTTGTCAGATAATTTGTCTTCCCCAGTCCATTACAGTCACCAAGAAACCTCATAACCCATGATGAGGCATGCCTGGGTAACCAAATCAGATTCTACAGCTGGGAAAAGAGCTGCACAAAGAAGCTGTCTGTGCCTCTGTAACTTATAGATATCTCCATCGCAGCCTCAGTGAATACAGTGCTCTGTGATTGAGCTTGGTGGGCGTACACAAGCTGGATGCTGCAAGGTCTCCTTGGTTGGCCTGAGGCAACTTGCCAAGGGAATGGCGCACTGTAGCTGTTTCCCTGCCAGGCTGCTGGTAGAAACCAATCTGGTCGTTCTTGGTCAGAGAAAAGCTCAGTGTATGTTTACTCTTACTAATCCCTCATTTGGTTTACTTTGATTGGTACATTAATGGACCACGTGCGGGGGAAAAAAAGGCCACAGTAGCCTCAAACATGTCTAGCCTAATGCCAATGGCCTGTTGCAGTATTTCATTCCATTTGGACAGTGCATCTCCAGCGTAACCTTTGGTCTAGTCAGCCAAGTTAATCAAAACTCAAGGTAGTTGTCATGATTACCATAATCGTTACATACTATAAAGGGCTGTAAAAGGCTAATTATGGTGAAAATGATCTGTGTTTTTGTAGCTTTAATGATAATTCTCTTCAAATGTATCTGCTTAGAGAAGAGGATCCAAAACAAGTCATCATTAATCATTCATATAGCTTATGAAAGTAATGCCTCCATCATCCCGATAAACATAGACATAAGTCATGAAAGGAGAGCTCCCCATGCTTTCTCCATTTCAGTAAATTTACAATAACTTGCACTGTGGCTACATGCTACTTACACAGTTGAGAGGATCAGTCCCACATCTTAGCTAAGTTCACTCCCCGAATCTCATAACTACAGCACATCCACAAGTTACCTCAAAGTAAGTCAAAGCCTTAGCAGAGGAAATGGCAGAAACACCTCCACAGGAGGAGGTTCCCCTACCTGTGAGAGTAGTGGACGCGGCACAGTCCCAAACTGATCTGGGAAAAGCCCTGCGGAGGAGCCCCCCCGGGGTGGGGACATGAGGGATTACAGCAAGAGTTAGGGGAGTTGGTTTTGGCAACAGTTCCTTCTCCTCCTCCCTCTCCTGAATAGCTCGCTGTCTGGCCGGATCAGGAGAGCTGCTGCTGTTGCTGGCTGTTCAGTGGCTCTCACTAGTCTAAAGGCTGCCCCTGCTGTGTGAGCGTATGTGGGAGGTCTATCACAACAGCCTGTTTGGTGGTGCATGAGGAGAGGTGGGAGGGTGAGGAGCCACTGAAATCCAGAGTTTGATAGAATGACATCAGTCCTATTAGGTTGGGCTGTCTTGCACACACCCACTTCCTTGATGCAAAGTTTCTAAAAGCCCAGTTTCATTGACTTTCACACGCTTTTTGCTTTACTAAAGAGACCACTCCTGTGATAACTGTGTCTAAAGTAAAAGACAAACCTACACTGAAAAATATGTCTTATATAAATCAATGCACACATTAACATTTGTAGAAATAAGTCCTTTCTATGTTCATATACAGAAGGATGCCCCCTCCTCAAACCAGCTGGTGTCAAAAACATTTATGTAATGGAAAGAGCTACTTTGTCCAAAAACAATAACTTAACAAGCCCTCTCCAAGCTGGAACCTGAAAGAGAGCCCCTCCCTGCTGCAGCCAGATGGAGAAAACAGAGAGGCTTACTGGGTGAAAAATAATTGAGTACTAGTTGAACTGAGATGCTCCTGATATGATTCGTATAGAATATGAGGTCTTATACAAATCTAGTTTACTAATGGAACTTTTAGTAACAAACTTTTTTCCCTGAGTCTGAAAGCTCTTCAGTCTGTTGGGTCATCTGTATACATTAACATGCTGGACAGACTCTTTACAAGATTGGCAACCACCACATCTGTCATTTTGGGTGATAACAATAAATGTGACTTTCACCTCTATTCACATCCTCATTTCATGCCAATTGAACGAAAATTACATGAAATGGTTTGTACACTGATTTTCCTCATTTTACTCACAGACGTTTTACACCAACTCTATAGTTTTCTCTCTTAAAGCTCTTTCATTTTTTCTCTCTTTTCCACCCATGCCTTCCCCCGGCCCCTCACTCTATTCTGTAAGTGGTGATGATGATGATTGTGATAAGGTTCCCTCCTAAACATCAAATGGAAGCCCACTGTTGTCACACCTCTTTAACTAGTTCATGTCTTCAGTTTATACGATGACGTGACTGATGAGAGATCCACAGATCCACACCATCCCTGTCTGTGCCACAGGAATCGAATCTGTCACTTTACACTTGTGAGACTTGTTACGGCGAGCAGACTATTTATGTTGCGGCTGCTTCCGTGTGTGCTGCTATGACTGCTGCTGTTTTCATTTGGTCAGAAATGACCACGCGTAAGCCTCTACAAATAACCTTTGCCGACGTTCCTTCATGTGATAAGAAAGGGCATGTGTATATGTGATATCTTACACCCTGTCTGTCCATGTTGGTGTGTTTTTACATACTCCCCAGGAGGTGAATACTTCTCCTGTGATCCTAAGCACATTAATCAGGGGAGAATTTCTGCATTCCCGACCCCACAGCCTTTACTAATTACTCAACAGCAGGGGAGAGCGGACCATGTTAGAACAATCTGCAATGAGCAACGGGTTGTGTTGCCAAACCCTCTTCATAAGAGTGAAGCAGAAAAAAACAACACTTTGGTTTAATCACAACATGCTTTGGAAAACAACAGCAGACAATCAAGTAAGTCAAGTCAGTAAAAAGGTACAAAAATTCATTGCAAAACTTGAATCTACAAAATACAAAGTGTTGCACTTGGAAGGTTCTGTCAGATATTTCGAGGTTCTGCAGCCCAGATGGTGCAACTGTGCGACCTCTTGATCTCTGAACTATGAGCTGTGACCCTATGTGGCAATAGATCCCCCCTTCACAGCGGAAATAGCATGTTTCCGCTCAAGCTTACATGGACAAACACACCATGTGCTGCTCTTTACTAGTGGATGTGTGTGCGTGAGAGAGTGTGTGGGCATTCCAAAACAGCTGGGGGTCCATGTCCACTGGCTACAAGAGTGACGCAACTAAATACCCAAGATGAAACATTTTGAAAAAGTCCCCTCAGCCCTTAACTGCTGTAACTACTAATGGCCAGACTTTAAGTGATTTTAGATTCAAGAAGCCTAACAGATTAGGACATTCAGTCGTAGTTCACTTTCATGTATAGCATTTAGATACATTTGGTAAAGCCAATGGCTTGATTGGTATTGATTCGGTAACAAAGCATGTTTTCACTGTACATGACAGCTCAAGGACATCTATTAAAGAAATAATGTGGCCTTGTAAATGATCTACGTAGGAAGCTGTTCCAGTCTTTGAGCTGGATGAATCTGACTGGTGCAGATAACAGAAGCAAGATGAACAGAGTCAACAGACCTTCTAACTTACAGTACTGGATGACTGACTGAAACTACTTTTTTTCGTTTCAGCTGATTACAATCTATATACAATACAAAAGCAATAATCAATCAAATTATGCTAAATGCTAATGATATCGCTGCCAGAGCATCAAATAGGATTTTGAAGCAGTTTTCTCACTGCATTAGTGGAGATATAGAAAACATGCAGCACAGAACAGTTTAGCTATTGCCAACATCCCTAGCCCCCAAAATGCTTAGTCAAATGTAAGTACACAAACCTGCTCTGGCTTAATGAACACTTTACTTGCAGCTCATTAAAAATGCATCAAAGATTACTGCAATCGATGGACGAGAGTGCAAACTTGCTAAGACCAAGGCACAAAGCACAAAGTAATGGATGGAGGTTTCAAACAGGCAGAAGTGAGATATTGATCAATATGGGTGTTTCTTCCACCTTCAAAAACTAGCCACAACTGACCCAATGCCATGGCTATATGAGGTATTAATTGTAGTCCAAAAATATACTTCAAAGTAAACACAAAGTCAATTAATGTCTCTCAACATATGGAGGCCTGAATATTTAAAAGTGTACATTAACATAATCTGTAACCTGACACCACTTAGGCTACATTTAGTCAGTGCT